AGGGTCTTGAATGCCTCCTTGTATACGGTCTTGGATGCCTCCTTGTATAGGGTCTTGAATGCCTCCTTGTATAGGGTCTTGAATGCCTCCTTGTATAGGGTCTTGAATGCCTCCTTGTATAGGGTCTTGAATGCCTCCTTGTATAGGGTCTTGAATGCCTCCTTGTATACGGTCTTGAATGCCTCCTTGTATAGGGTCTTGAATGCCTCCTTGTATACGGTCTTGGATGCCTCCTTGTATAGGGTCTTGAATGCCTCCTTGTATAGGGTCTTGAATGCCTCCTTGTATACGGTCTTGGATGCCTCCTTGTATAGGGTCTTGAATGCCTCCTTGTATAGGGTCTTGAATGCCTCCTTGAATAAGTAGTCTTATATTTGTGAGTCATCTGGTTTACTGAAGCTTTTATTTAACTTATGCCTCATTAAATATACTTCAGAGATGTTAGCAACTTTTGTCCCCAATGTCTGTATTCTGTCTCTTGTTGTCTTTACATTTATCCGATTTTCATACCTTTCCAAATGCAGGAGTAAAATTAGTACAACCATTTGTCAGAGCAAGTCTACAGCTTGTCCATGTCTATTTGCCATCTGATTCTATTTATTGTCATGTTTACATACGCATGAAAGGGCTTTATTTCGACTATTAACCTTTTCGGAACCCCATTCGTCATATTCACCCAGTTGACACCTCCTCTCAGACAATAACTCATTATTTCCTTGGTGCTAATTATTCCTTTATCCCTTACAATGCTTTCCTTGTTATTCCTGCCTCATCCTATAGCATTTGTCCCAGTCTCTTGAGTGTGTGTATGGGGGAGGTCTACATAAAAATCTTCTTATAGTCGAGAGATATGCAGGCCATCCATACTTCTCCTGCCTAATTTTAGTTATCTTGCCATGAAACTCCAGATGAATTGTGAGACATGATTTACCTTCTCTAATAACGTGTTGGTTATTGTATATGAATTTAATCCTTCCTCTTGTTGGTTGTTCAGTGATACCTGTCTGCACAGCTGGGAATACCGTCTGTATTCCACACCTCTGTCAGCTGCTGTTTCTCAGCTGCCCTACAAAAGACCACTGTTAGTTGTTCACACTTTTCCTGAACTCCCTCTCTCGGAACCCACGGAGAGATGTTGTTTAGTCTCCCAGCTTTCCAGATATGTAGCTCTCAGAACCCATGGAGATATGTTTTCTAGTATCCCTGCCTTTCAGATATGAACCTCTCAGAACCCACGAAGACATGTTGTCTAGTCTCTATGCTTTCCAGATCTGTAGCTCTCAGAACCACGGAGAGATGTCCTTTAGTCTCCCTGCCTACGAGATATGTAGCTCTCAGACCTCAGGGAGAGATGTCTGGTCTCCCTGCTTTCCAGATCTGTAGCTCTGAGAACCCACGGAGAGATGTCATCTAGTCTCCCTGCCTTCGAGATATGTAGCTCTCAGAACCCACGGAGAGATGTTGTCTAGTCCAGCTGCTTTCCAGATATGTAGCTCTCAGAACCCACGGAGAGATGTTGTCTAGTCTCTCTGCCTTCGAGATATGTAGCTCTCAGGACCCATTGAGAGATGTTGTCTAGTCTCCCTGCTTTCCAGATATGTAGCTCTCAGAACCCACGGAGAGATGTTGTCTAGCCTCTCTACCTTCGAGATATGTAGCTCTCAGACCGCAGGGAGAGATGTTGTCTAGTCTACCTGCTTCCAGATCTGTAGCTCTGAGAACCCATGGAGAGATGTCGTCTAGTCTCCCTGCCTTCGAGATATGAAGCTCTCACAACCCACGGAGAGATGTCGTATAGTCTTCCTGCCTTCCAAATATGTAGCACTCAGAACCCAGGGAGAGATGTTGTCTAGTCTCCCTGCTTTCCAGATATGTAGCTCACAGAACCCACGGAGAGACGTTGTCTAGTCTCTCTCTACCTTCGAGATGTGTAGCTCTCAGACCACAGGGACACATGTCGTCTAGTCTCCCTACCTTCCAGATATGTAGCTCTCAGAACCCACGGAGAGATGTCTAGTCTCCCTGCTTTCCAGATATTTGGCTCTCAGAACCCACGGAGAGATGTTGTCTAGTCTCTCTGCCTTCGAGATATGTAGCTCTCAGAACCCACGGAGAGATGTTGTCTAGTCTCCCTGCTTTCCAGATCTGTACCTCTCATAACCCACGGAGAGATGTCGTCTAGTCTCCCTGCCATCGAGATATGTAGCTCTCAGAACCCAAGGAGAGATGTTATCTAGTCTCCCTGCTTTCCAGATAAGTAGCTCTCCCAACCTACGGAGAGATGTTGTCTAGTCTCCCTGTTTTCCAGATATGTAGCTCTCAGAACCCACGGAGAGATGTCGTCTAGTCTCCCTGCCTGCCAGATATGAAGCTCTCAGAACCGACGGAGAGATAACATCTAGCCTCCCTGCTTTCCAGATATGTACCTCTCAGAACCCAAAGAGAGATATTGTCTAGTCTCCCTGCCTTCCAGATA